CTTTCCAGTAAGGCTCATACCAGTTTATAAATGAGTATGTCAATAACTGGCATCACCATTAGCTTTGTTAAATAATTATCAAGGAATATATGCATGTGATTAGAGCTTAAATAGTATAATTAGATGTGATTCACCTTTTGACAGTAGAGTTATGTTACCATTGGTTGCTCTCTTTGGAAATATCTTGCCTGTATCATTTATTCATTTATTCACTGATTTTTTAGGTCTATATAATGTTAATTATTTCAAAGAAAGAAAGGAAATGAAAGATAGAAGCTTTTTAGATGAATTTTGAAAATTCTCCTTGTGGTTTCTTCTTCGATAGTATTCCTAAAGAGCCTCACAATTTAAGTTATCATGCTATATATTTGTAGATGATTTTAAATGTGAATTACCAGCATTGATTATTCACTTTCAGATTTAAGTTTACCATTAATGTTGCACAATATCCCATGTTGCATTCAGATTTTGCATAATTCTTCTAGTACATTGCTTAGTCATTTAAGACCAAATTCCATGAAATTTGAATTTATTCTGGCAGCATATTCTTTAACAGCTTGATATTATAAATCTGTATACCTCCAATTTTAGAATAATCTTGACATTGACTTCAAATTCAAGAATTCTAGTGCTGTTTACTGCCAAGATAAATCCAAACAAAATTCTACTCCCACAGCATTTTCCTTGACGACTTCCTGGCCGAGTGGGCCACGGGGGAAGCCATAGAGTTCGAGCAGCTCCCTTTCCACCATCCGCAGTTCATCATGTTCTCATCTGGAACAACCGGCATCCCCAAGTGCATGGTTCACTCAGCAGGGGTGAGTGTACACTAGGGGTCAGAAGGTCATAGCAGTGCGTCGCTGAAAATTTACTGTAAAGAAATTTGTAATTATTAGGGATTGTAATATAGTAAGACGGGAGGCTATATGTCACAGAATGTTAACCTTGAACCTTGCCCCAGAAAAAAGTATTATCAATATGTGAAAAAATTAATTAATTAGAAAGACTGAACTTTTTAAAAATTATGATACTGATAATTGCTGGAGAAAAAAGTTGCTTTTGTTGTTTTTGGTCTTGTTATTTACCTCATAATAGGGTTAATATGGTAATGGTGGGGAAGGGCACTTTTTATGACTATAGGCTTTTTTTCAATAAAATTGTTATTACTTATTATTATTATTTTTGTTGCTATGATGATGACAATTATTTTTATTATATGAATTATTATTTTTATATCATAATGAAAAGTGTCATCATTATCTTTACTATTTAATACATTGTTGTATTTACATATTATACTTGATGAATAATTTCTTCAAATCTTTGGTTATAGTCAGAACCTTTCTGCTTTACAATGGAAGCCTCTTGTCCACAGTTTTCCTAGTCACTTTGATAACCTTACAAAACCTGTTTCAGGGAACGCTCATCCAAATAGCCAAGGAACACATTCTTCATTGCGATCTCACAAGGGAAGATGTCCTTACCTACTATACCACAGTGAGTACCTTGTATACATTGTATTCCAGTAGCAAAGGGAACAACGACAACTCTTTACAGAAAAGATTACAAGAACTGTGCAAATGTGGTTGCATTTTTAAAGTTTCCAAAGGAGTATGATTTTGAAATTTTGAATTTTTTTGCAGACGGGTTGGATGATGTGGAACTGGCTTGTGGTGGGGCTTTTCACCGGCTGCTCTCTCTTTCTCTATGATGGTTCTCCGCTTCTGCCCACACCCTCCATCATGTGGGACCTTGTCGACAAGCTTGGTGAGTTTGGCTATTGGCTGTTAAGTGCGGATGCTGTGGTCACTGAAAGGAGGGAAAATTAAAAGGGAGGATCATGTTATCTTGGGTGATATTACTAGCTCAGAGATTTTCATTTGGCTCTTTTTGTTATTCCATCTGGTAGGTATTTTATTTGGTGGGGAAGTAGGAGGTGAATGGGAATATATACCAGCAAAGTTGGGATAATACATCTGAGTAGCAGCAGGGCAGACTGAAATCACATTATTCCTCTTTCTCCTTTTCCCCATGCAGGAATCACTGTCCTCGGCACAGGTGCTAAGTGGCTGGCCGTGCTGGAGGACAGGGGAGTAAAGCCTCGGGAGACCCACGACCTGTCCTCCCTGAGAGCCATTCTCTCAACTGGATCTCCACTTGCAAGCCACTCCTTCAGATATGTCTATCGGGATATTAAGGAGGATGTGATGCTGGGCTCTATCACAGGTGAGTTCCATTGTAGAGGGGTTTTGACTCTCTCTCTCTCTCTCTCTCTCTCTCTCTCTCTCTCTCTCTCTCTCTCTCTCTCTCTCTCTCTCTCTCTCTCTCTCTCTCTCTCTCTCTCTCTCTCTCTCTCTGTCTCTCTCTCTGTCTCTCTCTCTGTCTCTCTCTCTCTCTCTGTCTCTCTCTCTCTCTCTGTCTCTCTCTCTCTCTCTCTGTCTCTCTCTCTCTCTGTCTCTCTCTCTCTCTGTCTCTCTCTGTCTCTCTCTCTCTCTCTCTCTCTCTCTCTCTCTCTCTCTCTCTCTCTCTCTCTCTCTCTCTCTCTCTCTCTCTCTCTCTCTCTCTCTCTCTCTCTCTCCACTCCTTTTTTTTGGGGGGGGAGGGGAGCAAGACCCAGTACTTAGAAGGTGACAAATAAAAAGAGATAAAGGGAGAGTCAGAAAGACTGACAGTTAGAGAGACAGAGAAACAGAGACCAGAACTATGAACAGACTCTTGATGAAATGTAGAAAGGGTTACAAAAGAGAATAGATAACTTTTTCTGCAAGACTTGAACTCTTCCCCCCCTATGCCTCACAACCCTTTGGACTGTTTCAGGAGGAACTGACATCATTTCCTGCTTCATGGGCAGCAACCCCACCTTGCCTGTGCATGAGGGTGAGATCCAGTCTAGGAACCTAGGCATGGCAGTTGAGGCTTGGAACGAGGAGGGGCAGCTGGTTTATGACACAAGTGCGGAGCTGGTGTGCACAAAGCCCTTCCCGTCCATGCCCACACACTTCTGGAACGATGATGGCGAGATCAAGTACACCAAGGCTTACTTTGCAAAGTATGGCATTATTGCATTATTGTACAAGGAATTGGCCTCATTTTTGTATAATTTCTTTCTTTTCCTGTTTTTTTTTTTTAATGATCTTTTGGTCTCATTAATTACCACTTATTTTTTATTTAGTTTAAGTACTTGCAGTATTTGGAAATAGGGACACTTCAGATATATAGTCATTAGTAAGAACAAATCTGGAAATCAGGTATTTGCTGCATTTAAATATTGAATATTTTGAGTGATTTAATAGGTAGTGATCCAACTCAGATCAGTGCCAAGGAAAACAGTTACATAGATTGCAAGTTCAATTGCCTCTACATCTAAGGTCAGTTTTCTAGGTAGCAAGCGACAGGTCATAGTCATCAGGTGAAGCATGTCTGATATATATATGCTCTGTAATCTCACTTTTGATTATATCTTCTAACAAAGATATAATCAAAACTGGTCAAATACATCCCTTGCCCCATGAAGATATTCATTCTCATTCATATCTTTTCTACATTTGTATTAGTGGATACGGTTCAGGGTAACTTCTTGCCACAACCAGTGCTTGAACCACTTGTATCCAAATTACATCCTGGTACTTGGAATGGGGTACATATTCTAGATGTGAGAATTACACAGGTGCATCAGACTTTGTCAATTGCTTAGAGGGGGACTTGGAAGTGAAGGAGACTGTGCCACTGTGTTTTCATTGGTGTCTTTATACTCATACTCTTTGGTTCATGAGGGCTAAAGTATTATTACAGAATTACCATGCAGATAAAGAGAAGAATTGTGAAAGAAAAACAGTAACTAGGAATATAACGAGTGCTTATTCAGATTTATTTCTGGGGCTGTGTCAGTCATGTCAGTTTTTTAATCTTGTAGGTTGATCTTGGCTGTGTTGAATATTTAGTCTCAGATGAATAAACAAAAAAATAAGAAAAAAAGTATCATAACTTTATATTAGTAATATCAATAGAAAATCTTTTAACTAATCATTAGTATCATAATCATCTTGATTATTATCATTATTATTGTTGTTGTTGTTGTTGTTGTTGTTCAACAATTGTTTAGATATGAAAATATTTTCTGTTTAGAACTCAGATCAATATGACTGAAATTAAGATAGTTTTGGATTAGAATGACACTGACGACTCTTATGTAATTCAGACAAACTGTTTTCGCATGGGAACTAGGGGAGGCAGACCCAAAGTGCCCTTTGACAAAATCATACTATATATAGTCTGTGATCTTCATAGATTTTCCTGAAATAATTGTATTCAGTTATAACACAGTCAAAACCATTTTGAAGCCAGTCCAGTGGCACTAAGCTGGTGGAATATATTTTAATGGAACCAAGAAGAGCATTTGGGTGGCCAGAGGCAACTCAGGGAATAGTTCTGAGTTTGGATCATGGCACCTGGGTTTATGTAATTAGTCTAGTGTTTGAATACTTGGAATAATGTGTGATTTGTGTTACAGATAATACATAAGTAATCTTTACCATTTATAGAGAATAATTGCTGTTATAATTAAAAAGTCAGTATTGATATTTGCTTTGTAAGTAGTAAGTAAATTTTGTTAGAGGGTAACAAATAAGAAATTTGCATTGCAGGTACCCCCGCACGTGGACTCACGGTGACTTTGTTACCTTCAACTCCAAGACAGGAGGAATAACAATGCTTGGGCGCAGTGATGGAACGCTGAACCCAAATGGTGTCCGTTTTGGAAGCGCAGAGATTTACAACATTGGTAAGTTTCCTGGTACTCTTTGTCCAATTTACTTATGTATATTTATCTGTTTTCTTGCCATTTTATGTTTTTTTTTTTTTTTTTTTTTTTTTTTTTTTTTTTTTTTTTCTTCCAGTTTCAGACTTTAGTTTTAATTATTACAAGAAAGTATTGTAGTAAATAAACAGGAATATTAGAATTAGTGACAGATTGATGACTTGTCCACTTCTCTTTTATATTACAGTTGAACAGTTTGACGAGGTAAATGACAGTGTGTGCGTAGGCCAAAGGAATGCAGAGGGTGAGGAACGGGTTGTACTCTTTTTGAAGATGCTCCCTCCCGCCGAACTGACACCAGAGTTCAAGCGCCGTCTGGCAGTGGCAATTCGTACACAGCTTTCAGCTAGGCATGTTCCCTCTGTCATCCTGCCCATTTCAGAAGTGCCAGTAAGTTGAAGTTATAGTTATAAGCTCTCTTAAATTTCATGTAATGTCCTATTTTTTGCCTCAAAAAAGAAAATTCAGCTCCAGACAAGTTCCTTTATCTTTTTTAATTCCTTAAGACCAGATGGGTATTAATTTAGCATGTTTTTAAAGATAACTTGTATATTCAGGCAGGATAGTTTCCAGTTCCTCTGAGCCTTAAAAAAAACACCTATGCTACAAGTTATTAATATATATACTGAACTTGTTGATGCTGGGGGTGCATACATACTGTACATGCTGTTGTTGTATTGATTTTGTCAACACACATGACCTTATCTATATACCCGATTCCTTGAATTTTATGGAAGAAAAGATGATAATGATAACAATAATAGAGATGATTAATAATGATAACAAAAATAAAGATGATTACAATGATGATAATGATAAAAATAATAAAAATGATTATAATAATGATAATAATAGTAGTAGTAATGATAATAATAACAATAATAGAAAAATCTCAATAACAATATAAGTAAAAGCTTTTGTCCTGGAAATGCAGAGAATGGGATAAGCAAATGAGATGTGGTAGAACTAGTAACATCTTGGTGACTTAGTGCCCGTGAAACTGTGTAAACAGAATTGATAAAACAAAACTACATCAGCCAATGTTCAGATGCAGTACTATTAGGTTAAGAGACTTATTCTTTACCTTCTTAAGGAACATAGTAATGCATATTTACTTAAATTTCATGGGAGATATAATAATTGATACTGTAAGAGGGATGAAATAAAATATAACATATAGTGGATAAATTTGAAATATGAGATATAGTGAATAATATCAAATCTAAAATAAAGAGGATGGAATAAAATATAAGAAGGTAACATTAAAATGAGCAAAAGAGCAACAGTCTGATGGCCCATCGCTTCTGTTACAGTACACCGTGAGTGGCAAGAAGGTGGAGGTTGCCGTGCGACAGGTCATCCAAGGGGAGACTGTCGGAAATCGAGCGGCACTCTCCAACCCGGACTCTCTCGACCTGTATGCCAACCTCCCTGAACTGCAAGGTTGGTGAGGCTCCAAGGGACGGATAGTGAGATTCGAGGAAGGATGGTGAATCTACAAAGGTGGCAAGATGCATAATGTAAATCCACTTGTTGATCTGTACTAGTGGCAAGTTAGGTGACCTGGTTCTGCACAAGATGCTGGGGACAAGTCATATTATGCTGACATGTAAAATGGAAATTGAAGAAAAGCAAAGGGGAAGTGGTAATAAAAACTGCAGAAGGAAGGAAGAAAAGAAAGTAAAAGTGATAGGCTTATATTGCTGATTATGTGCCTTTTTAAGTGTCCTGGTGTAGAAATTTGATCTGGTTTAACAATGAGAATGTTAATACTATTTTTTTCAGTGCTGCTGAAATTATGGTCAAGAATTGATGATCATCAAAAAGTATTGTGTTACTCAGGCTTTGTAACATTAAAGTGTTGTTTAAGTTTTAGGTTGTTAAAAAAAGGTCTGTGACTGAAAATAGAATGTGAAGAGTATAATTAAAACAAGTTGGCAGCATATCATTGCATTTATAAGAAAGCTTACTTTGGGTTATTTTGCACTGCATTAACTCTTATGATAATTTAAATATGATGGATTTTCTCATGTGTTAATATTCTGGTTTGTATAAATGTAATACGTTTCAATAACTTTTGAAAATCATCAGGAGTGTGAATCTTAAATGTATTTTCTCAATGAGAAAATTACTTATATTGACTATTTGAATTTTAGTAAAGAAAATCTTTCTCTGTCTCTCTCTTTCCATTTTTTAAGGAATTAAAGAATTTTACAAAAGATCTGTACAAGTATTTGAATATAGTATCAAGAGATTTGGTTGATCACTTGCACTAGACATCAGTCTTGTGAAATGCTTTCAGTACTGATGCAATCTGAGGTGTCACAACTGGAGTCACAGTGAAAAGTTTGATGTTTAGGGTTTAGGTTAAGTGAAGATATGATCGGGTTTTACATCACAAACCCACACAAGGGCTAGGGTGGTGCCCTCTCCAGAAGGATTTTGGTTTTGGCAAGGAGAACCCATTAGCTCAAGTGGATGCCCTTCCAAACATAGATCCTGGGCAGGAATCGAATTCTCAGGCTGGGTGACCAACGCTCATGGTCTCCAGTTGCAGGCATTACTGCTGCACCACGGCAGCTGCCTTAGATTAAATGAACTAAACTTAATATTATGCATTAGCAGGGAGCAAGAGTGAGTTTGATATATTTGTAGGAAAAAGTGAGTAACTAGAAAAGAGACGTTATTGACAGGTTTCTGTTAAATCTTTACCAGAATTGCATGACGTAATTGTAATGAAGATTTAATCAAAATACATCATTTATGTTGCTCATGTATTCAAATTATTCGTTCTCATCTGTAACTCTTTCTACTTTGGTCGTAATAAGCCTGTGTGATTGTAATTTCTTTGTGATTGTTTTTATAGTTTCTGAGCTGTCAATACTGTTGTGCAATGTATTCTCAGTCTGTTTCCTGAGATGCGATGATGAATCACAAAGAAAGGTCTTTTACTCAGCATAGAAAACTGTGATAGCTGTTTGGTAATTTTTTTGTTAGGGTTGAAGATATATATACACAAATAGGCTTTTAGTTATGGAAAAATCTGTAATAATTTTATACATTTTATAAATATGCTGGTCTATATAAAGAAAGAAATTATGTAAATTTATATAGAGGACAAAACCTATATGTATATATCTTAACACATTATATATAATGAGGAAAAACTTAATGGCAATGTAATCTCAGTCTGTTTCCTGAGATGCGATGAGGAATCACAAGAAAGGTCTTTTACTCAGCATAGAAAACTGTGATAGCTGTTTGGTAATTTTTTTGTTAGGGTTGAAGATATATATACACAAATAGGCTTTTAGTTATGGAAAAATCTGTAATAATTTTATACATTTTATAAATATGCTGGTCTATATAAAGAAAGAAATTATGTAAATTTATATAGAGGACAAAACCTATATGTATATATCTTAACACATTATATATAATGAGGAAAAACTTAATGTTTGATTGAATTGCCTCCATACAACTCTTATTCTGTGGATAAATGTATTCCCTGAGAAATAATGCCAACTTTTACAGCAATCTCCATTTAAAAATTTATTCAGCAAATAAACTCCCCTTTATTGCTTGGCTCTCATATCACTGTCTCTTGAAAAGGTGTTGAGTTTGATGCATTTGGGCATACATGTGTATGAAGGGAAAAGGAACAAGAATATAAAATTATTTATTTATTCAAACTGGAAGAAACATTATTTGTCTGAATTCTTTCACTAATTTCTTGGAGCAATATCAGGATTTGATAAATAAATTTCAAATATCAACTAAATCTTATAAGAAATAATGTTCTTTTTTCTTTGCATAAACATCAGGTGCATTAATTATTATTACTGCACTTATACACAATATATTACAATATAAGCATACAAAATTTCCCTTAACAATAATGATAATAAAAGTTTCATATAAGAAAAAAGCTCTGTTCTACTACTGACAAATATTTACACATTACATAAAAAAAAAAATAAATAAAATAAAGATTGCTTCTCTCAGATCTACTTGAATGGGAGGATATCTGCAAAACCTTAGTCATGATTTATCAGAAGTTAACCCATTGCCGCTGGGGATGGCATGTACGTACATGCCATGCCCATTGTGAGTCGACTTGTTCGATTGTTTTTACACATAGATGGCTACACTTGTGCTAAGTATCCAATGAGCCAATTACGAGTACTGCCTGTCTCGCCCGTTCACCCTTTTCGTCGATTTACGAAAATATTTAACGTTACCCTAATTTGCTGTTAAAAATATCACCATCTATATTTATAACACTAGTAAAAATACATTTTTTCCCGCCAATTCAAGGAAAGGTGAAATCAGGACTAGCAGAGCCATATATGGACAGAGATATTTCACAAAAATATAAAAAATGAGTACTGCATTTCCCCCATTTTTTGTTCATTTTCCCCGGGGGCAATGGGTTAAATGTTCTAGTAAAAAGCTGCCTGCCAAAAGAGTGTCTGCATTCTCTTACTGAGCCTCAGACACAAACAAAGCAATCCCAGTCGACACAGGCACAAGTATCTTGATAGCCACCACAGGGATCATCTCTGCTCGCTTACTGCTGCTGGGTGACTGCTCTGGTGTGACGTAGGGGCTGCAGGAGGAGAGGGGTGAGCCACCTCAACAGAGTGGAGCGTGAAGTTCTCCAGAGGTGTCACCTTGTTGCTCTCACCTACTATTGTGTAGAGGCCAGGCTGGGAAAAGACGAGGGCATGAAAAGAAAATGGATAATATGCACAGGAATTCTTGGAATATACAAGTCATTTTTCATTGTACACTCCTACATATATAGATATACTTATAATTTGTATATGTATATTTATATACATATAGATAGATGTATATCAATGCACACAATAAGAAATCAGTTCACATTAAAACAATTTACAAAAAAAATACCAGGGAAGGTGGATATTTGTCATTATATATACCGAATATTACTATACAACTATCAATGGCTATGATATCCAAGTTTCTTTGTAAACCACAAAGTGAGAGAGAGAAAGAATAAACAGAAGAAAAAGAGACTGAGACATTACCAAACTCACCTGTGCATACTGCTGTGCATTCTCTGTGCTGAGTGGGGGGGCAGGAGAGGGGAGGCTGAGCACCCCTGCTGCCAGGGCCACTTGCTCTGAGCCAACCCGTGACCAGACCATCTGGGCAGCA